CGCAATTTTAAAAGATATACCAAAATTGCGCAAAAATATCTTGAAATGCCAAAGGGCAAAATAATATCGCCATTGGCTTCAACCACAGCCCTCAGTCGACTTCGGAATCTCCTGCATTTTTGAGGTTCTGGGAGGGGGTCTCCTTGTTTAAGTTAGTAAATGCTGCCATAATCCTTGCCTTCAGTTCATCTTTGGTGTTACAAGTAGATTTGTTAGTCTCTCGCTCAACTATGCCCCACACATAACCAAGAGGCTTGCAGTTTGGGGAGTTAGATGGACAGATGTAAGGGGTGATGTGGTCGCAGAAATTGTCTGACAGTCATGACTGGGTTCTCCTGCTTGTGTGGCATGGTGCAGAGTCCTGTTGCCAGACATAGGGTCTTCCAGCAGCCACCCTCTTGACCCAGGGTAGCACTAACCCCTCAAGGCACTTAATGTACGCCTTCGTGTTGAGTCTGAGGTCCTCGGCAACATATTCGGAAGTTATTTTCTTATCAGAATGATCAGAGTGAGTTTTCCGAGCTGCCGTACCTTCGTAATCATCATTAGACTCATCCAACTCTTTCTGAATCCTCTTTCTGAATCCTCAGATTGACACCCAAACACTCTGAAATATTCGTATTGGAGTTTTCGGCGCGAATGCCAAGTAGTACAGCATGCCGTTTCCTAATTTCTGGCGGAGTGAATTGCATCACGGTGCTCGTTTTCTCACAAACGGTGACCAAACTGTACAGTCGACAATATCAAAAACAAACAACGCGCATGCGCGAAAATAAAAATATAAGATGGCGACAATTTACCCATCGCACCCTGTATATGTCATCATATATAGATGTCATTATGCATTATAGATATCATCATATATTATATATGTCAACATGCATAGATGTTATCATGCATTGTAGATATCATCAAGCACTATAGATGTCATTGTGTAAAGATGTCATTATGCATTATATATGTCATCTTGCTTAAATGTCATCGTGCATAGAAGGTTTCATCACGCCCAGATGTCACCATGCATTATAGATGCCATCCTATTTAAATGTCATCATGCATTATAGATATCATCATGTAAAGATGTCATCAAGCATTATAGATGTCATTATTTTTAAATGTCATCATGTTTAAATGTCGTTATGCATAATAGATATCATCATGTAGAGATGTCAACATATGTCATTATGCATTACAAACTCCTGTCTCAATAGTAAACCCAACATTGTTGACAAAGTTAACCTGGCCGTTGGTCCCGAAAAGGCCCTCCCATCTGTGGTTGACTGGGACAGGAAATGGCTTGTAAACTTTAATGTCTCCCAAACGAAACTGCTTTCATTTACCCATCATAGAGAAACCGCCCTGACTCCTCTGCATGGCTGTTGTTCAACTTTACAAGAGCGTCTCTCTGTGCCTTCTTGCTCTCAGGTTTCCCGCTGGCCCGAGGTGGAACAACTACATTGAATCAATATCTACATCTACCTACCGCAAGGAAAATTGGTTCTCTGTGTTGCGCCAGAAAGTTTTTCTCGTCTGAGTCTAGTCTTCAAATCTACCATTCGTCCTAACATTGAATACTGTTGCCATATATAGTCTGGTGTTCCCGTTGTTCATCTCGAGGTCTTAGACAAAATCCAGAGACGGATATTGTTGAAACTTGACTAATGCATGGAATAAAATCAAAATGTACTTAGAACATTGAAACAAGACGGATATTTAAGTCTTTTTGTATATGAGAAGGTTCCTGGAGAATAGTCGGCATCTCTGGATTGAATCTCTTGATTCCTTTCTCACATATTTATATGGTTGGTCAAATTTTCTACCACAACAAATGCAATTTTCCTAATATGGCATCTCTCCAGCTCACCGACGTGATGTGACTTCTCACTGTCTTTTCTGGACTGCTCTGACGAGCTATTTTCACTGGTGCCCCAATTGCATGAATTTAAGCGTGCTACTAGGTTTGCATCTCGTCCCGCCATTTTACTGTCGAAACAGTTAAGTGTAACCGCCTTTTCTACCCCAACAGCTTCTTCTCTCGCAATTCCCGGCAGTGGAACTTCTTTTTTCTTACTTGCTTCTCTGATAACTATAATCTTCAAAATGTAATGTCGATCGACATCTGCTGATTCCTTGATCTTCATTCCCGTCCTCATTTTTATTCTTTACTCAAGCACCCCTCTTTAGTCTTACTTTCACTTTCTGTAACTCCTTGCGTACTAGCGGCACTCTCGCCTTGGTTGGGGTGAAAAAAAAAGGAAGATATTATCAGACATTATATTTTTTAACATGCATAAATGTCATTATACGTTATAGAAGCCATCAGGCATTATGGATGTCATTGTGTAAAGATGTCATTCAATAAAGCTATCTTCGTGTAAACATTTCATCACAAATTATAGATGTCGTCATGTACCGATGTCATTATGCATTATAGATATCATTATGTACATGTGTGATCGCGGTGTGATTTTCTTTGCTCTTCGAAGGAGTTAGAGAGTACTTCTGTGTATAAATTATAATCACCTAAGTTACATTGAAAAGACCATAAAAGCCTGTCTATCTCGCTTTCCTGTTATAATGAACCAATCATTTTGGGATCTGAGGGATTATTCTCTGACTCCATTAAAGGGGTATCGTAAAAAATAACTTCTATTTCCTTTTCGCCTTCGGGCAAGAGTGGCATAATTGATTAATGCTTAGTTTCCTGTGATCTGTTTCTGGTTGCATTAAAAGGCGCAGTGTTAATAGGCACACCCTGATGCCTATGGCAATATAGCAACAGAACCGTGCGTTATTTGCAACCGACTCACGCACAAACGTGTGTATGTTTCCACTTAAAAAAAAAAATCTTAAACCGTATTCTAGACCATGCATCAATGTGCAAATATCTTCTCTTTTATAATTATATGCTTTTCCATTCGAGATAATATATTCATCATTGTAACACATTAAAGAATCTAGTGCAAAGTTCACTAAATTTTGTCTTCAGGGTATGGTGCCTGGAAAAGGAAGTAATGGAAAACCAAAATAGAGGTAGAGGGATAACAAAATTCTGTGGCTGCCAACTGAATGGCAGACGCTAAAAAGCTTG